GCAACGGTTCGAGCCCCGCGGGGGAGCTCTCCCAAACATGCAGGCCCGGCTTCAAGAGCAAATGCAGATTCCCGGGCCGCGCACCGGCCCTATGGGATCAGAGCCTCTGGGGGTGTGGCCCAGCAGCCTGGATTTTAGCAAGCACTGTAGGGGACTCGGTGGCCTTAGGTTTTTGGAGTGTTTTTAAGAAACCCTATAGGCCGCTAGTTTGGGAGCTCCTGCCCCATAGCTGCTAAATTGGATTCTCTGAAGTGGGACCTGGGGCGGTGAGGGTTGAAAGCCACCGTCCTGAACGCTAACGTCGGGCCCCAGAGATGGCTGAGAAGGCGCGGGCCTGCAGGGCGCCTGGCGGGGTGGGGAAGTTCTGCCCCTCCGCAAGAGCTGTCACCTCCTAAATCTAACGCCCCCACCATCACCAAGATGTCACCACGCAGCCACGGTCCGGAGCGTTTCCCAAAGCGAATCAGGGGAAACTCTCGGAGAGCCTAGTTCTTCCCCACAGGCAAGTGGCAAGAAAATAGAGGGAGAGAGATGGAGAAGCCTAGTGCTTCGAAGGGTAGACGTCTAGAGACTGGGGGAGGGCTGACGTCACAGCCAATCGCAATGCGCAGAGCCTGCTCCGCGCATAAAAACGAACTCCCAAAGATACATCGTGACATTTCTGAGAGGATGGGGAGGGGAGTGTGGATACAGACTGGAGGCTGGATGACGTTTAGGGATGTTTAGTCTTTCTTAGGCATGGCAAAGTATGACTCAAAAGAAAATTCTTCCCTGTTCCCGGTGGCTTCGTGGGCTTTGTGTTGGGCTGCTCACTGCAAGGTGGGACACTTGGAACCCGTAGTCCCTCCCCAGAAAGATGAAGCTGCTAGCTCCTGTGGAGTTACAGCCTCAGAAACCCACAGGGGCAGTTCTACTCTGTCCTATCGTGTAGCCTTAAGTGGGAACCGACCTGGTGGCCGTCAGAGTGGAAGGATATATTCAGAAGCATTTACAGGTGGAATAAGAGGCTATCTGGAATAGGCCTCACTGCAATTGTTAGGCTAAAGAATTGTGTACAGGTGCCAAGTTAGCAAGGGGTAGATTGAGATAGTTATGGTTTATTGTGCCAACCTGGCCGATAAACACATGTGGGATTAGTTGAAGGGCAGAGAGCTAAATGGCTCTGTGAGCCTCACCTTTCTAGTTCTCTGGTCTCCTGTTTTGTGATGGTTGGACCAGGGTGCAGCTGCCTTAGCAGTTCCCTGCTTCAGCTTGCAAGGCTGACTTCCTGCAAGACATCCCCGAGGAGAAGCCACATGGACCTCCCCTGATGCAGCCCTGGGTGTTGGAGCAGCCGTGTGGAGACCCCTGCCAGCGCTGAGATGCTTGTTCATTCACTGACTCAGCTTTCCTCTTGCAGTCAGCATCATTGCATGTGTTTTGTGAGTTTGAGGAGGACTTTGGAGATTGGTTTCAGACATATGGACTAAATCGGACTTAGGGGCTTGGACTGGACTAGGATGCTTCCTGAATGTACACGTACTCTATATATAAAACTCTCTCTTATACATCTAAGAGTTTCTGTGGATTTGTTTCTCTAGTTTACCCAGACTAACACCTCAGGTTGTTGCTTGACATAACACAAGATGGGGATGGGGTGGGGCGAGGAGCAGGGAAGGTGATCAAGGGGCCTGCTGGGCAGAGATGGAGAGTAGGTACGTGGGGCTTTCCTTATACTATTTTCATGTCCAGAGCTCTCTATAATTAAAAAAATCCATCAAAGAATAAGAACCGTAAATCTGGCAGAGCTCTCAGCTTCCCACTTAGAGTATAATCCAGATGTTTCCTCAGGAAATAAGGGCTTCGAGTCCCTCTCTGGCCACATGCTCCCCACTGACCACTCTACAGCCCATCCCTCCCCCCTGCTTCCCCAAAGGCCCCAGCACCTTCCAGTCTCAGGGCACCTCACTCAATCTACTCTCTGCCCCCCGAGCCCCTCTCCCAACCCTTCCTCATCCTCCAGGTCTCAGCCAAGTCACCCTTTCTGGAGAGTTCTTCTCTGATCAGCCCCCCCCCACCCCCACCCCGCTATCTGAGCAGGAACCCCAGGTAGACCCCCTGGTGGCATCCCTGGAGGTTTCCAACAAACGCAGACGACTATGTGTGCGCCAAGTTCTCCTCCCCGGACTCCCATCCCAGGCAGAGGTGGCTGGCCACCTCTCACCTTCACACCCGGACACTCTGTAACTGTGAAAGCCACGAGGAAACTCACCAGCAGCCTTCTCCCTGCTCACCCCCATCACCCCCACCCCACCCCCACCCCCCGGCCCAGGCCACAGCTTCTGGCCATCCCCACCAGCTTCCCAGGACCTCAGTCTCTCCTGGCCCCAGACTGCATGCCCGGCCCACTCCCAAGGGACCAGAGGCACATGAGTTTGGCAGGCACCTTGGGGGTGAGGACCACCGCAGAGCCCCCGCTGATGCTGAGGATGGGCACGTGGGTCTGGGAGGAGATGAAGTCGAGGATCTGCGCCACAGCCTCGGTGCCCACGTTGTCCTCGAAGACAATGCCATGGACACGGGCAGTGCCCAGGAGCCCGCAGATCTGGGTGAGCAGGCTGCTGGGGTTGGTGTTGTTGACCCCTACAGTCAGGGGCTGGATCTCCAGGGGCAGGTCCAGGAAGCTCTGGGGAGTGAGGCGCACACGGGCCTGGGCCTGGGGCAGCCCCGAGCTGCCAAACACCACAGCGACCGTCACAGCCTGCTGGTCCGGCCCTGCCCAGGCCCCCAGGAGCGAGGTGAGCAGGAGGGCCGGCCCCAGGGCTCCACCCATGTCCACTGGAAGGTCCTTTGGGGAGACAGAGGCACAGAGAGAGGCCAACAGACAAACAGATGGGAGGCCAAGGCCAAGTCAGAGGATAGACGGAAGAAAGAGAGGAGGGGAAGGGAAGGGGGAGAGAAAGAGATGGCCACAGACACAGAAAGAGACAGACAGTTAGCAGGTGTCCCCGGACTGTCCCGGAGGAGAGGCTGGGGAGGAGGGTGAGCCTTGATGGGGTGCTCATCCTTCCGCCGTGCCTCTGTTGAACAGCACGCTTGGTTCGACACTCACAGATTGCAGCCGGGCCCCAGGAGGACACAGTGCAAACACCAGTGCTTACGTGTCTGCACGGGTTGGAGTTGGACAGACCTGAGTTTGCACCCCGGTTCTGTCACGTCCTTGCTGTGTGATCTTGGACAAGTTGCTTAACCTCTCTGAGCCCCACTTCCTTGCCTGGGATTATCCTAGGGACCCATCTCATTGGGGCATCCCTGGGAGGTAGACAAATGGCTAATGTACTCAGTGCCTCAGAGTAAGGCAGGAGGGTCAGGGCCACCCAGGAGCACCTCGGAAGAAAGGCCTGGAGATCCACTTCCCCAAACCTCTGCCACTGAAGACCCAAAGGGGCTCGGATCTACTCTCACACACGGGCTCGCCAGGAGTTGGCATGGACGACTCAATGGTGACTTTTAACTTGTTAGCCTAGCTGGGCCGCGAGCGCTTTATGGAGGGCATCGCTACTAGCATCGCCATCCTCCAGGTATGGAGGAAGGTGACTTCCATAACCTGCATTCCCAATGCCCTGCCTCCGCCCCCTCCCATCCCCCACCCAACCTAAGCCATGTGGGTCTCTGGGGAGTTGTCCGCTAGGACAGATCCTATGGGTCAGCCTGGCCTGAACACCATGGAGCCAGCCATAGGACCCTCCTTGGTGAGGTCCTCCCAGGCCCTGGATACCCGCCCCCCTCTGCTCTTCCAGCCAGGGAGTATGCGTGACTTCCTGCCTCGTCCACAGCTCCGACTGCTGGAGACCCGAAGCGTCTTGTACATGAACAGCTACCCGGTGTCCTGGTGTGGCGGCTCTTTGGAACCAAACCCGCCGTGAAATCCAGCTAGACATCATTGTTTTGGACGGGGACCAAGAGCCAACCCTGCCAGGACCATTGAGTGTGAGTGGTGTCCTCGGTCCCTGCTGGCCATCGGCTGCAGCATAGCATGGTTTCTGAAGGGGCGAGTCTCCAGTAGGGCAGGCTTGGACCCAGAGGGCAGAAATGCAGACAATCCCCCTGAGAGAGTTTATTGTGCCAGCCTGGCCAATAAACACAAGTGGGATTAACTGAAGGGCAGAGAGATAAATGCCTTGGTGAGTCTCATCGGACCAGTGTGCGGCTGCCTTGCTTGTCCTGTGCCTCAATTTAAAGGCTACACTACCTGTGGGAC